TCATTATATATTTAAAATGTATTTAATATTTAATGCTTAATTCATTTTATATTTAAAATGAATATTTAAAATAAGTCTGATTTAAATGTGATAATTTCTAGATGAGTTTCAGGAGGTTAAAATAAAAAATGTTTATTAAATGTTTTGCAGTTTGTTATGCAGTACTGATCTTGAACAGAAGGTGGCGCTAAATTAAAACAGTAAAAGAAATAGTATACTGTATGTTTCAGATGCAGTACCACTCGTGGCCAGTGGGAGCGCCGAATTAAAACTAGTAATTTTCCTGCAGTACCACTCCTGGTCAACGGGGGCGCTAAAGCGCTGGTTTGATGAGCGGCGCCGGTAGCGGGCAGGGCGGAGGTGAAAGTTCATTTCGCCGTGAAAACATGGTTGAACACGGTGATGTCCGCGTGGTTTACCGGGGCGGCGGTAAATTAAACTTCAGGGATCCGGTGATCAGCAATGACTCCAGGTTAGTGCGCATTTTAACCCGGTAATGAGTCAAGCTTTTAAAAATAACGGTGTTAGCTTTAGTTAGCGTTAGCATCACAGTTAGCAACGAGCTACATGTCTTCGAAATGAATTTACCGATTTAAAGAGACAGTTACTGATTTGTTGCGGCCGCAGGTTCCTGCTCTGCGCCTCAGGTGACTGTGTGAAGGTGTTCAGCACCGTCACGGAGGAGTGTGTCCACGAGCTGAGGGGACACACCGACCTGGTGACAGGTGTGCTGCTGAGACCCTCCAACCACCTCCAGGTACCACATCTGTAACCTGCAGCACTTAAGAGCTTCATATTTATGAAATTATTAGTTTTAATGTTAGTTTTCTAATTAAATCTGCTCAGCATTGGTTTTATTTTGAAATTCTTCTGAATAAAAAGTCAGATTTCATGTTGAAGGAGTGTTTTTAGGAGGTTTGTTTGTGTTGCAGCTCTACTCCTGCTCCACAGACGGAACCATCAGACTCTGGGACTTCACAGATGGCATTCTCATAAAGGTAAAACCGCTTCTTTTCACAGCTTTAATTTGAGCAAATCGGCTCAAAAATTTGATTATTTTCAGACTTACGTCGTCGGATACCCTATTTTCTCCATCCACGCCTCTCGGAGCCACGATGGGGTCGTCTTCGCGGTTATTCCCATGCAGAGCGAGAAGAAACATGGTACGTCTTCTTAATTTGAGCTGGTTTGGGAAAGGCTGCTGGAGTTTAAAAAAATAAAATGTTTTTGTGTGCAGAGGCCTTCCAGCTGGTGGCGGTGCCCCTGCCTCAGCGTGCCGATCAGCTGGTGGAGGTGGGAGGATTATCCGCTGTCCTGAGCGGCGTCGACTCAAACCCCGCGGCCCTCGCCTTCGGCAGAGCGGTACGTCCTCTGAGTCCGCAGCTCAGCTCCACGTTTGTCACGTCTTTTAAAAGCGCCTCTCGTCCTCGCAGGGAGAATATCTGGCTTCGGTTCGACGACTGCAGATGGAGGTTTACTTTTTCAAGCAGCAGAAGTCCTACAGGTTCTYACACTTTGTCACTTCGATAAAAACAAACAGTTTGTGTTTTAAACGACAGGAAATGAGTCTAAAGCCTTCAAAATTATCAGTGCATTGCCAATGCACACTATTGTGATTCGTTTCCCAACCAAGTCATCTCAACTTTGCCACGCTTCTCCTCCTGCATACTTTGTCCTAGAGCTGCCATTGTAATTTATATCTGTAAAGCCCCTGTGCCAAATGATGGCTATGCCTTTTGGTGCCTGTACAACTTATAGTTTATGAAACATTAATGTTTAATAAATTATAATGGCAGTCATTGGAGCCTTGTATTGGTCCAATACTGCCCCATGCTGTACTCAACTTGGTACTGCACCATAGTTTAATATTTCAACTCAGTAGTTCAATGTTTACAATACTAATATGATTGTATTTTGATGTTTTACTATAATGTTGTCTTAATACTGCTCTATTGTTGTAATATTATGCATTTTTGTGTCAATAATTGTATTGGCAATGTGGCCTCTTTCTGCACACATACAAACCAACCCCTGCCACCACCTTCTGCCACAACTCCATTGGTCTAATGGTCTATGTCATGGACTTTCATGTGGGAGATCAGGGTTCTAAACCCAGCTAATGCAACTTTAAGAAAAAATATCTTCAAATTTCATATTTTCACAATTACCTAAATTACAAACACCTGCTGACGTGACAGGCACAAGCTGGTATAGAAAACACATTTGAACTTGGTCAAAGTTCATTCTGAAAGTCCAGTGCTGCAGGCAAAGCCATGCTGCATGGCAATGCACACCTGTTTTTACATCATAAAAGCCCATGTCTAGTTATTTTTATTCTTTAAATTCTTCCAGGTGTGCTCCTTTCACCTTCAATGTTTTGTTTTTATTGATTAAAAAAAAGAAAATCTAGATTCTTCTTGATTTGCCACCGAACAGCTGTTTCATTTTCTGTTTGTTTCACATTTCATTGCTTCAGCAACAAAAATAAATCCCATTAAGGCTGTGAGAATAATCATATTTGTAGTTTTATTTAGATTATTTAGCTAAAAACAATAAAAAAACTCATTTTTTGGCACATTCCACCTACAGACTGAGCTGAAATCTTTTATAAAACTCGTCAAAGCCTCCAGTGTTTGGTTCATTTCCTGCAAACACACTTGTTTTGTAACCTGAATCGTTGTGTGCGTCTGGAAGGTTTTTCCTGAAAGAGGACAACAAAAAGGGAGGCAGGAACACGTTCACCTGCATCACCTGTCACCCGAAAGACGACTGCGTCGCCACGGGACACCAAGACGGAAAAATCCGACTCTGGTGGGTCACAAACGTACATTTATTATCTGTAATGTGCAAAATTTTACCTCTCATTACCTCATATTTTA